AGAACACTTTCTTGACGCTCCATAGACTTTGCACACAACCGCTGAAGTGGCGTCAGGTTGCAACATTCTTTTCCAATATTGTGTGATATTTTGACTTCATTTCTTTATTTCATCTGTAAAAACATTAAATGTTATACTGCCTTTCTTTAAAGGGAAGATACAAGATTTGCAAATATCACAAAACGAAATGATCAAATTATCGCAAAATACCTTACTGGATTGTTGGGGAATGACAGTCTAAAGCATCCTGTAAAATTGTGGCTCCTGATGTGCTGACAGTTTTAAGAAAAATGGTACTTTTCCAACGCTGGTCGGCCAACCAGCATTGGAGAAAACTGGCTATTTTTCAAAATTGCTCCCAATTTTTTTATAATTAGTTATTCCGCATTTTCTTTGCAATTGATTACACACGTACAAGTCTGCTAGACTGATTCTCTGACCTTACAATTCCCCAAAGTCTATTAATTGCTCCGTTTTATCTTATAAGTGGGGTCACCAGACTGCAAATACATGATTGGTTTTCTTGACTTTTCCAGCATCTACAAGCCCAAATGTGAAAAAGTCATTTTAACGATATTTGCTATAACATACTAATCATCCAAATTCATTTATTTCTGAAAATTGCAGCAAAAGCAAATGTTGTAGTTGTACATTCCCTTTAAGTCCGCGATAAATTTTATCTTGCAGTGTAAATATTGTGTAGGTGAATTTTAAAAGTAAATGTGTACTTAAAATATTGTTGAAATGCTGTGCATAGTTCTTTGAATGAAGGGATATTAAATCATCACAATAAATAAAAGTGAAAAAAAATACCTGTTTGTTATTGTTTTGTTTGTTTTCTTGGTAGTTTGTTTGGGATTCTGAAAACAAAACTTCAGTTTATTTAAAAGATAAGTTCAGTTTGGGCTATAAAAAGTTGGGAAGGTAAGAAAAAAGAATAAAATGATTATGGTGGGCCGGGACTCGAACCTGAGTCGCCTGATTGAGAGTCCTACGCCGGTCCACAAGACCATTAACGCACTCAAATGTTATACTAGTTCTGCTTAATTACAATTGTAAGATAGGCTTATCGTGGCTTTTCACGTTGACGCCCATGCACGCTTAGACGTAAAACACAGTTTGACGATGTAAAACATTCGTTTGATTTTGGGTGTAGCTGTTCTTATTGATCTAAATTTAATTGGAAAAGGGTAAAGGGTGTCAACTGAACTAAAATCCTGAAATTCAATGAAATAAAACTCGTACAATCCTTGCTTTCAGTACGAAACACACGTGTTCAACGGATGCAGAGAAGCCTATTTCTTTTGTTAAATTCCTTTGTTGAATCTTGCGTTAACAATAAAATGTTTCCATTGAGGGAAAAGGATTAAACGCCGCGATCTTTATTCACGCTTGAGTGCATCTGAATGGGGAATATTGAAGCGGAAAATCACGATTTACAGCACTTAGGCAGCATTTTATCCCACACAATGATACTTTTTGAAGAGGAAATTGCATACTGAATACAACTGTAGTTTCAAAATTCAAAAATTCGCCGTATTTAAAAAGTCGAGGTAATTGTTTTGGAAAACTTTCACTAAAATTTCCTCATCCTAACGTAGGCGGCGCTATATATATATTTCATTCTCAGTGCGCGCATTGTTAGCGCGATAGCCGCCGCCCGATCTGTGTATCACCCGTTTACCCAATCTTATCCTAGCATCACAATTTCAATTTATCTCACGAATAAAAGTTGAATAGGTCTACAACTAAAACAATAGACAATTAAGGTCTGTGAAAAAAAATGCAATCAGAATAAAAGTCAACTTTAATGGAACAAAAGAGACGCGTATAAGGATATTAATAAAAGGGCCCCGGTATACCCATGAAGCAAGGAATAGACCGCTTGCAGGAATAGACCGCTTGCAGACGCGATCGATAATTGACGCGCAAAGGTGCGCGACGCCATGTTGTGGGACAAAATGTGCGTGGATAGATATACGCTTGTCCCACAACATGGCGTCGCGCGCCTTCGCGCGTCGATTATCGAACGCATATGCAAGCGGTCTATTTGTTTTGTCGTGTGAGATGGGGGGAGGGGGGAACAAGCGAAATATTTTTACTAAAAGTCGTAAGTGGAAAAATGTTTTTAAAAAAGGGTTATAAACCGTACATGTATACATAATAGGCAGCCAGCCCCGCCCCCATCCCTTGCAATGCCATACACACACGATAATGCGCTAGCCAACTCTGGATACGGTGCACGTGCGAAAATGAAATATATATAGCGCCGCCTACGTTCGGATGAGGAAAGTTTCAGTGAAATGTTTCCAAAAAAATTACCTCGACTTTTTAAATACGGCGAATTTTTGAATTTTGAAACTACAGTTGTATTTAGTATGCAATTTCCTCTCCAAAAAGTATCATTATGTGGGATAAAATGCTGCCGAAGTGCTGTAATTCGTGATTTTCCGCTTCAATATTCCCCATTCAGATGCACTCAAGCGTGAAAAAAGATCGCGGCGTTTAATCCTTTTCCCTCAATGGAAACATTTTATTGTTAACGCAAGATTCAACAAAGGAAATTAACAAAAGAAATGGGCTTCTCTGCATCCGTTGAACACGTGTGTTTCGTACTGAAACCAAGGATTGTCGAGTTTTATTCCATGGAATTTCTGGATTTCAGTTCAGTTGACACCCTTTATCCTTTTCCACATAAATTTAGATCAACTTGAACAGCTACACCAAAAACCAAACGAGTGATTTACATCGTCAGACTGTGTTTTACGTCTAAGCGTGCATGGGCATGTACCTGTACGTGAAAAGCCGCGATAAGTCTATCTTACAGTTATAATTAAAAAGAACTAATAGTGCATTTGAGCGCGTTAATGGTCGGCTGGACCGGCGTAAGACTCCCAATCTGGCGACTCGGGTTCGAATCCCACCATGATTATATTATTACTTAATTTTCTTCTTTTTTTCTTTCCCCAAAAATAAATTTGGTGAACTTATCATTTAAAAAAAAATGAAGTTTTGTTTTCAGAATCAAATACTTCAAAAAAAATAAACACTAAAATTGTATGTTATATTCTTCTCTCTCTTTTTAAAAAAAAAATATTATTTAATCCTCCATCCATGATGGGATCAAGAAATTGAAAACTATAGAAGAGACAAGTTTGGAATTTTTTTTCTGAAAATGATTTTCATTTTAATTCTTTCAGCGTTTAAAACTTTACGCGTATATGAAACTTAACACATAGTTGTCACTGACTGTGTTATTTTTGAAATAGTTGAAGAGCATTTTATTGCAAAAATGAAACATATGTTAAGGGTAGATATAACATTTGCAAGCATAAAAAAAACGACATGGTCAAATTTACACGAAGTACTTCACTTGATTGTTAGGGAATGACACAAAAGCTTAGCATCCTGTAAAATCATGGCTCCTGGTGTGCTGACATTTTCAAGAAAAATTGTATTTTTCCAACACTGGTTAGCCAACCAGCAGTGGAAAAAATGGCTATAAAAACAGTTCCTAATTTTTCATATTTAGTTATTTCGCGTTATCGTTGCAATTGATTACACACTGGTGAAAGGGTTCAAGCCTTCTAGACTGATTCTCTGACCTTACAATTCCCCAAAGTCTACAAATTGCTCTGCTTCATCTTAAGACTGGTTCAGGCAACCAGACTTCAAGTACATGATTGGTTTTCTCGGTTTGCCAGCATATACAAGCCCAAAACGTGAAGCCAGTCATTTGAACAATATTTGCCATAACATACTAGGGCCTAATCCTCCAAATCGATTTATTTTTGAAAAAAAATGCAGCAAAGGCAAATGTTGTACATTCCCTTTAACCAAAACATTTCACGCATGTCAGTACTGCATGCATACAGTTTTAAAAACCAATGATAAGGACTAGTAACATCCTCGCTGAACATAATGTAACGCATCAGCACCTGGAACAATCTTGTCTGAGACTGAGTTGCCATGATGAAACATTCACAGCATGTCCTCCATGGATCCCAGCTGAATCAACTACTGTTCCTATACTTGCACTAAGCATCTTGTTACTCAACTGTAGATACTCATCATGTGTCATTGTCGTTGTTCTTTGTCTTAGCTTGTCTTCCTCTCTGCTGTATCGGACAGCTGAGACCCCTTGTAGCGCTGCTGCTGTTCTGTCAGTGATCTGCTGCTATGGCGGCTCAGTCATCAAATGAATCCTGATGATTAAATACATCATAAAAAAAAAAATTCTGAAATTGTTTTTAATACTGACCTTTTAATCTTGCAATGTGAATCTTCGTTTTGAAAAAAAAAAAAACTCACTGACATCTTTGCATTATTCAGACTAAGTTTTCCACAGGGACAGTAACATATATTCCAGGTTTTTAGTAAAAATACCTCCATCGAGCTTCATAAACAGCCCCAACAACTTCAACAAGCATGATGCTCAAGTTGCTAATAAGAGTTGCAATAATAGGCGTCAGCTATTTGGTTCAAATCCCATTCAAGACAGCGTACCTATTTTTTTCCTCAAAAGCTTCCTGAAAGCCCGGAACGCACCCACTCATTTGATCAACTTTTTGGAACCGAAATATAAAATCTGTGTCGCCAACATACCCTGCAGTCCTATAATAAACCCACACTACTGGGACCTGGCATGGAGTGCTCTGAAACATGCAAAACACAGTATTGATGAGAGTCCCAAATTTTCGGACAAGCATAAACCTGCGAAAACAATTTTGCGACCTGACACTGCCGTTTTCTTCATATATCATCTCAATGAAGGACAGTCATTGAAAAAATGATGATAAGACATGAATCTAGGACTAAGAAACATTCCCAATTTCAATGTTAGGAAATACTTCAATTTTCTTGACTCACCATAGACTTTGTACCGCTGAAGTGGCGTCAGGTTGCAACATTCTTTCCATGTCTGCTGCCCATTGGAGATCAACCTGCTATCTGTACTGCCATCAATTGCATCATATGCTGCATTCCTCTGACACTGTGTCTTGCATCACTGGCTGCTCATGGCATGCACGTCATCAATTTCTATTAAAAACCACAGGATACAGACAGAAAGGCACTTGTATTACATAAATAAAGCCACAGTGAGTTGCTATTCGCTGGGCGTGTTTTCTTAGTTGAACCTAGCCCGAAAATTAGGGACTGTCCATGCAAACTGAAGTCAAAGTCTAGCCCGACTGCGTCTGGCCGTACAGTACTATCGCAAGCTCTGTAGTACGGCCAGACGCTCAATGCTTCCACACACACTGAATTTTTTTTTCCGCTGATGTAGCGATTTTGCTACAGATTTTGATCAAGATTATCTTTTCGTCCAGGACACAAATTTCCATCCACAAAATGTAGATGTGTTTAACGCAAAAAATAACGGGCAATTTTGAGTCAACTTTCACACTCGGTTTCCACAAGATAACTGAAGAAATATCTGTTGCATTAACTTAGAATGTATTCCGGGATCCCTTTGCAAGTTTTCCAACAACTTTGAGGCAATTTAGATTTTTTGTTTTTTCCTCAATAAAAAAATACAAGAGGTTAGGCCAAAAAAAAAGTCTCCGGTTTCTGGTATGGAGCTTGCCCAAAAAGTGGTGCGGCGGCGCGGCTTTTTTTTTTTTTTTACCTGATTTTTTTGGTTCAAATGTCGGCTGATGACTGCAAATGGTGCCCGAGTAAACTTAGTGCAAATATATGGGAGTCCAGAGAGGCCACATAAAGCTTATTCTCGACCATAACCCAATCTAAAAACACGTTAAAATTGTGCAGCAGCAGGATTCAAGTCAAACCAGTGAGTTTGGCGGTTTTGAGACATCATGTTTCATAAAAAAAAAAACTTTTTTCATTTTGCCGACGCGCATGGCTACGGCGACGCGCGCATACCAGAAACCGGAGACTTTTTTTTTTGGCCTTAGCCTCATATTTTTAATTCAATTTGGCAAACAACAAAAACTTTTCTCCAAAACAATTATGCAAACATTCCTTGGAAAGTAGGAGAAGCTTCGATCAACATTCATCGACCCATTTTGTTTTTTAAAGGGAAAATACAACATTTGCAAATATCAAAATATAAAACTACCAAATCATTTTGAAATACCTTGCTGGACTGTTAGTGAATGACAGTGTAAAGCATCCTGTAAAATCATGGCACCTGGTATACTGTCATTTTCAAGAAAAGTGGTATTTTTGTATCAATTTCCAACGCTAATCGGCCGATCAGCGTTGGAAAAAACTGGCTTTTTTTCAAATACTGGCCCCAGTTGACCATCGCACTTGTTTGCAATCGATTACACACCTATGAACGGGTACAAGCCAGCTAGACTGGTTCCCTGATCTTACAATTCCCCAATATATGTAAACTGCTCTGTTTCTTCTTAAATGGAGTCAGGGAACCAGACTACAGGAAAATGATTGTTTTTCTTGGTTTTTATAGCATTTTCGAACCCAAAACCTCAAAAAAGTCAGTGTAACTATATTTGTTATATATTTCCGACCAGCCAATTCCATCCATTTCTGAAAATTACAGCAAAAGCAAATGATGTATATTCCCTTTAAATATCAACCACATATAACCTTATATGGTAAGGAATTATTTTGTTTCCCCTTCTTTTCTTGCGCAGTTTTATCAAACGAAAAGCAACGATTTCTGATTTCGCAATCTACCTGAAACGAAAGCTGGACATTGTTCGTTGTGCAATTTTCTGAACGACATAGACACATTGGTTACGCAATGCATTCCAAACGACGCAGATACGTCTTGAGACCATGATTATGTGCACCAAGTATAAAGCATGTTATCTTCTAGAAATAAAATCAAAAATATTTTGAGTGTTATTTTTAATAAGAATGTCTTTTATTTCAAGTCATTACCACTATCTACCACTATAGCTATAGTACGCGGGTATGTATACATGCATTTTGGAACAGTGCCCTCAATAGACAGGTAGCGTCTAAGCCCAACCCCCTCCACCCCAGCTTTTCAAACTTTCCAAGTTGGTGGCTCCGCAAATATGAACAAGAGATTGCCTCTGCTGGTCAAGAGGCCTAACTGTAGCCTTTCCACAAGGTCATCCTGACAAGCGCCGGCAGTTAACCGAGGGACGAAACAGCGAGGCGTTTTGAACGGCGACTTGACACACATCGAGTGAGCTACAAGCGAGGTTTTCCAAATCCTAGCTTCATTCCAATACCGGATCCAGCTCTATTGCCAAGCCGCATGCCTGAAACCGGTTTACGGAACGAAGCCGGAGTTTGAGAAACGCCGGTATGTCTCATGACCTCGATGACTTTCGGTCGTTTTGTAAACATAGGCTTCGTGCCCGGCTTCGGAACAAGGCCATGTAAGGCCCCTAATCAGACAAGTGGCTTTGTCATTTACTTGTATGGTATGGTCCCACTGGTATGGGGGAGGGGAGGGGGAAGGGGGGGGGGGCTGTGATCGTTCAACTATCCCACCCCACCCCCATCGTCGCTACGTCATTGCTTCAGAGATTATTATAAATCGAGGTGGTTCGCAATACAGAATGGCAAACTCTGGTATGATTTGTCCGGATATCACCAGGGCTAGTTCAGGGTGAATCGTGCGCTTTATGCGGAGGCCACAAACTAGCAAATGTAGGAAGTCTGGTCGTTCCATACAAGCCTTTCTCGTTTAAATCACTTAACATGCTTTATTGGAACTGTGTCATTACTTTAGGTAGTGAACGTTTGCTTTTTAGGTCCATCATCACCGGTCATACATTCTAACATTTCTGGAAATGATTATTCGAACTGGGAGATATTCAAGTGTAAAAACCTTTTCCACATTTAGAAGGCCACGATTATACACGGGCCGTATATGATGCGTAAAGTTCATGGAAGTTTATTCAACTGTATTTTATTTCCTCAAAGTCCCAATCAATGAGCAAAGCCTACCTCAGGGGCAAAACTACGGGGACACGGGGCATTTACCCCACCCCCTGTGGAAGCCGGCCCCAGCCCTCCCCCGCCCCATTTTGAAAACCTGAATTAAAACATTCACTGTAAGCTGTAATAATACGTTTATTTTGCATTTAGTGCAGCCTTTGAAAAAAAACACGCACCTCAGGTGCCCTACCCCAAGTTAAACCCAAGTTTCTCCGCTGGCTTGAGTACGATTTAATTCCTCATAATCCCGAATATATCCACACAATTTAATAGACTGAAGCGCCAACTGTACATTGAATGAATCACGGCCGGTGTATACGTCACTTGTCTATCCACCAATCACAGTTTGTCGGTGACAAGTTGGTGACGACAAGTCGGTGACCACAAGTGAGTGGTCTGTGACTGACAGATTGTGTGTGTCAATCATAAATTCCATATTTGGATGTGTCACCGACATCCATACAATATCCACCAATAAGAAGCGGCCATTTCAATCTCGGTGACTAGTTTTTATGGTGACTATATAGCCTCAACGACATTAACATTGCTTTCATATCATTAATATGAAGCGAGTCGGTGATGTGTGATTGACAGCGCACAGGAGCCATGCAATCACAATCCAGGTCCGAGTTTTTAGTCACTGCTCAGGAAATCGATGGCACTATTTAAGAAAATGTGGGGCCGTCCACCCTTCACATCAACCACAGGTCACCTTCGGACGACAACCAGAGAGAGAACTGACTGCAAGAACAAGATTTTGCTCGGTGAGTGTTTGAAACAATCATTTTTCCTCTGAAGAAATTTGTTGTTTTTGCACAATGTGTTTGAATCAATGCAGGATTCAGATTTTGTTGAATGTTGCTGATTCAATGATTCTCCAAACAGCGAGCGCGGTGGTAGGCTTGATATGTTCCCGTCTTTGTGTGCTTGTGAAAATGTGGTAGCTTGAGGACTGAAAAAAAAAAACCCAAGATTTTTATGAACAAATTGTTCTTTTTCATTTCACTATGACTCTGATACACGTCTGCTAACAGCAAAACCAGCGCGCTAATTCCGATCCAGAAGTTGTGCCTTTTCCCAACGACCACTTTGGAGTTGATAAAGTATTGCGATAATTTACAAATGTGTTTGAAATTAACTTGTTCAGACGGACTTTGTTTGTGCATAACATTCACTAAGCCCGTCTGAAAGAGTTAATTTCAAACACTTTTGTAAATTATCGAGCTATTTTATTTCAGCTCTTATAATGTAAACAGTTGGTGCGGATGCAGACCACGGTTTTGCGAGTTCAAATTTCAAGGCAATAAAAATGAGGAATTCCTGTCTGGCAATATTTCCGCTACTACTTCCATTGTGCACTCTCAAAAACAAATTGTCCAAATACTTACTGGTTTCTTTACTTCTTGAACAAAAATCATTTGGATTCTTGTCGATATGGATAATACACTACGAAGTCACATTTATGGGCTTTTTTTATTTAGGTTCGACTGTTAGGTTGCACTGTTTTCTGACCGCAGTTTTTCGCAAGTATAAAACATCAAGTTCCCTGCTGTGATTCAGAACAGTAAAGATGTATTGATCATTCAAAATAATATTTCAGAGGAACTACAAATCGGTGTTTCACATTTTCGGTTTCCAAAAAAAGTCTCTCAAAACCTGGACTCTTTATAACCTGGCCAATATTTTTGGCATGATCAAGCACACTCTTATTTTTTGCCTCCTTTTTTTCCTATTGACTTTATCTTTTCAATTTCCAAACATGAAATCCTAGTGCAATGTACTCATATTATTTCCGGATATCACTCAAACTCAATCAGAATGAAAAGTTATGCGGAAGTTGGTCACGGAAGAACGTATACAGGTATCCGGACATCTCAAAATGCCGGTCTTATATGTGTTATTATTTGTGGATATTCTCAGTGCCTTTGAACTCTGTTGTTCAACTGGCATTTTGCTATAGTTCACAGTGCGCCATTCCGGTTTCATCAAGTTACTTTTAAGCATTGCAGGATAAAAGTGTCACTGGTCAGAATAGACTAGAGGGCGCAAATACAAACGCACTGGATCATGATGATGCACACAGTTTTATACAAGTTCAATAGCTGGATGCATTTTGTAGAATTCATGGATAG